GAGAAGAGCTTCCTACAGTAGGTAAGGATTGGGCTGTGTCAGAGAGTGAGCGTGAGCCAGACAAAGACATTTGGAAAATCAGGTGGGTGGAGGAAAGTAACAATGCTCCAGGCTGAAGAGTAGCAAGGAAGAAGAAATACTAATTTTGACAAATAATTTTGACAAGCTATAAGCAGTTTGATGGTGGTGGGGTAATAAAAGCCAGTAAAACAGAACAACAATGGAGAAGTCGGCATAGGTCATGTTTAAGGTTTCTCAAGTTTTATAAGCTACAGAACTCTTTCTCAATAAAATTCATTTCTGAGCCCCAGTATATTAATGTGAGAAAATCAGTAAATAGAAACCTTCATAGATAAATAAACCATTTGTCACTGCTTGTGTCTGAACAGTTTGAAAATCACTTCTTTAAGGAGATGAGATAGCACTGTATGCACAGAGGAGTGAAGTCGTGGTCAGATTTGAATTTTAGCTCCATCACTTGGGCTACAAGGTAGTATGTTTAATGATGCTGGCAGTGGTAGACCAGTGAAGATGACTACCACCCGACAAAAGCAGAAAGCCGGCCTTGAAAAGCATGCGGAGGGTACAACTGGCACAAGGGGGGGTGACTTATTGGATTTAAGGGAGGAGGAGGAGGACATTAAGGCTAACTCTCAGAGTCCTAGCTTATGTAACTGGGTTGGAGCCTACAGAAAATATGTTCAATTTATATATAATGTGTGGATTGTGGGGCAGGGACGCAAATGGTGAATTTAGTGGTGAGCATAATTGGACAAGAGGAAGTCTGAAGCTCAGAAGAAAAATATAAATCAGATGTACATCTGAGAATCATCATGATCATCATCACCATAATCGCAGCTATTGTTTAAGGAATACTTTTAAAGTGCTTCATAGGTACTACCTCCCATAACCTTGACAACACCTCTCTATAAGGGAGGCATTAACAAGAAGCTAAGGTCTCAGAAAGGCTGAATATCATACTCAAGATCATATAACTAGGAAGTGGCAGGCTTAGGATGCTCACATTCATCTGGCTTAAAATGCCTGTTCAACCATCTCTACCTGAGAGATGGATATCTCCAGGGAAGCATGTAGAGCACTGCATCTCAAGAGGAGAGGCAGACCATTTCAGAGGGTACCAGGAAGGTCAGAATGGGTGACTCAAAACACATACTCAGCATTCCTTCTCAGAAACTGAACACATACACATTCAGAGGCCAGACATGTAAGCAAAGGACGGAAGAATCTGGATCTCTAGCAAAAGAAAGAGGTGCATTAGAGGATGCTTCACCCAATTAAAAGGTATTCAAATTCAAGATTTCTTTTTGTAAAAAAATATTTTATTTCCTAAAAAAACATAATACTGACAACACAAAAACCATAAGAAAGCCATACTCTGAATATTTTGGTTTCCAAAACTGTCTTTGTTTTCTGCAAAACAGTAGGACCAAAAAGAGTCTACGAGGTTCAGAAAAAGTTTGCATACTTTAGGGTACAAAGGAAATTCTTCACGAACAAATAACATTTCAGTGATATATGAACATCCTGGTTGAGATTACAAAAAGATATTAGTAGGCAATGATCCTTTATGAGAAAGTGAACTATAATAAAATATAATGAAGTGAGTTATCACTGAATTTTATAAATGTATTTTAAGAGATACAAGAAATTGCATTTGATTCTTTACTTTGCTTCTAGCAATTGAATCTATAGCTTACATACCTCATACTTTAATAATGAATTATTTCAGCTTGTTTCTATCCCAAGTCAAAAGAAATACTCAGTAGTGAGACAACTGAGTCTGTTACATTTCAACAAGCAGTTCAGAGAAAGACCCCAGTATGACACTTCAGAACTATTCTGGACATCAACACCAAACAGCAGTTTTCACACAAACTAACTCTCAGAGGCAGTACCAAATAGCTTGTTCATCAAGCAACTCTCTCACATGTTTCCATTTTTCCAAATGAAGAATATTAAAGCATCAATCAAAATTGAGCAAGGAAGTCAAAGATAGGAACCTGATCTATTACAAAGGGCCCATAGCAGGAGTGGGGTCCTACATACAACCTAAATAAAATACTGTAGCCACTGATCAATATATTACCTTTTAAAGATGTAATAGGATCAATGAAGTAGGATCAATTTAATTCAATTCAGCACATGATAAAATATGTGATTATTTTCCCCAGAAACTTGGTATTGTTAAGAATGACTAAAAACAAAATCCAAGTGTTTACATTTTTCCCTTCTATAGTCACAATGCTATAGTGAATTGTTCTAGGCTTGCAGAATCACCTACTCAGGTGGCAATAATGCAAAATTAACACAGTATAGGAGAAAACCAGTACTTTCTCATTTTCTTCATCATTACCACCACCTACCAAATGCTCCTCCCCATAAGCATCGATAACTGTAGCAGCAAAAATTAGCACAGGCTATCTGAAATAGAACTACTATGGTCCCAAAACCACATGGACTCTACTCTGTAGTTAATTACCTGAGGAGACTCTATTTTTTTTCTAAGCCCATACCAGCCATTCTTTATAATCAGAAATGAAAAGTAAAACTAGACTTGTCTTATCCTGCCTTTGATGTTGATAATATTTGTAAATACCAAATCTCTATCAAAAAACAAGGACACTGAAAAGCTGGGAAGGGCAAAATGGGCAAAAATCATGTAATTTCTAGAGACTAGTTTCTGAATATTATTACCATTTAGACCTAACACAATATGATACTCACTGGCTGCATATAGCTGCTGAGTACTTGAAATGCAGGTAGTCTGAATTGACATGTAATCTAAGTATAAAATATACATCAGATTCCAAAAACTTAAAAGTTATTACAAAAAATTGTATTAGCACTTAAAAATATTAATTATATGTTGAAATGGTCATCTGTTGGATATACTAAGTTAAATATATTATTAAAATTAAATATATTTTTAAAAGTAATTCTTTTTGCTTTTTTAATGTGGCTAATAAAATATAATTATATACATAACTTGCTCTTGTGGTTTACATTATATTTCTATTGGACAGGAAGGACTTAGACAATAATCACTGTAATATGTAGTAAACCTTGCAAAAGATTCTACCATTTAAACATTTGGCTTAGCACTTGTAAAAACTGTGCTATAGGTCATGAAACAGTTTTAAAAGCACATTTCCTACTGAAGATCAGATAGTTTTCCATATTCTAATGAGTGTTTAGAGTGTAAACAATGACAGCAAAGGGGCACTTGGGTGAAAAACCAAAAAACTTCAACAATGGGCTTAAGCTAACATAAGCTTGATTTTTTTTCTGATTCCCAACTCAATAAATAATTCCTACTTTCAGAGGAAAAGCTCTGCTTTTCTAGCTGGAGTTTCAAGGACAAAGAATTGTAAATAGGTATTAACCAGTAAATGAACATTTCTAAGAGATCTGAAGCCCTGCCCAGGTAAACAGCCAAAAAGGTAAGGGTGAAATGAGTAATTTAGTAATTCTTTAGGGTTTACAGTTCCATCTTTTCTCCAACTCTCATTACTTCCCTTCACTTTTCTTCTCCTTCCCAGTGTGTACTTATGTTTACACCCACTTTCTCTGCTGTTGGTTATTTTGCACATTTCTTTCTCTTCTCATTCCATCTGGCATCTTCCTCACCTTTGGTCTTTCTCCTTTCTTCTTGTTTTCCCTTTTCATATTCCCTTTCTTGTTTGTTTATTTTAATTCATGTTATAGTCCTAAATAGGAAAAAAACTAAAAAAGTCTAATACATTAAAGTACTTTTTCACTTACACAGGACCCTTTATTGGGTTATTAATTGTTTCAGTTCTGTTCTTCAGGGTTAGTGACTCCCCCTTGGGCTTTCCCTGGCTTAGACCAATATGGTTCAAGAAGAAATCCTACTAGAATCACCTAAGCAACGTCCTAGGCCCTACCTACCCAGATCCAAAATCAGACTCTGGATTCTTTGGGCGGGAATCAGCAGTTTTAGGAGAGGAGATTATCAAGATAGACTATCCCTAATCTTTGACATTGATACATGTCCTATAAATATGCAATCTATTGAAAAAGACATGCTGAAAAGTGCATTAGAGCTTGGTTGTTTTTCTTTCTTTCTTTCTTTCTTTCTTTCTTTCTTTCTTTCTTTCTTTCTTTCTTTGTTTTTTTAATGACAGCTTCTAAAAGAGTTCAATTATTGGCTTTAGCACTTGACAATAAAAAAGTTGAAATAAAACAACTGGCCTGGGTTAATCAACAAATGTTATCAGAGCAATGTTTACCAGAATTCTCTGAGATTGAGATTGGGGTAAATTAAACAATGCCAGTATGGGTTTCTTGCAATACATTCAGAGTAGTTTAGTAAAGAGAGCTGACAGTCATTTCTGGGGAAAAAAACAAACATTCAACTCAAGTTAGTTTGTGTAAATAGGACTTATACTTTTACATTCTGCTGAAAGTAACTGTTCAGCTAAAGAGATTTAATGTTGGTTAAGTATTAGTGCTTTTTGGTTAAGTAAAACTTTTTGAAAAGCATAAAATCTAGTGTTGCTTTTACTTAATACTCTCTTCAGTTATTTCAATAGACAATTTCTGGGTAGACATTCATGTGCTATGTTATCCCTGTAAGCATTTTATAGTTGACTTTTAGGAATCAGTGTATTAATAAAGTAGACTAAAACAGGGGCAATTCTATTTACAATTAGGATAATGAATCAAAATTTGTGCTTTTGATGTTCCAAGGTTTTGAACTCACAGAGCTTTGATATAATATTTAACAAACATATTTTTACTATTATTAACAGACTCTCAATCCCCAGGAAATTAAACCAAGGGAATATATTTCTAGTCTAGATTAGGCAGTACTTTTATTTAGTAAGCAATAATTTTGTTTTTAAAAATAATTTTTGTCAGAAGTTCTCCATTTTATCTAGAATGTTTAGATTTTCAATAATCAACTTTATGTCAAAATGTAAACACACATATAGAATCAGAATAATTACCAGAGTTACCTTATTATGTGTCTGAGTCTGTCCAACCAATATGAGGATGTTGGATGAGATGATAGACAGGCAGAAGTTAATTAGAATTATAGACCTCTCAGAGCGAATGTACCTAGCCAGAGAGAGAGAGAAAGAGAGAGAGAGTCCAACTTTAAAATTCAGCGGAGAGATGAAGAATTATGAATTATGCAAATCGGTGAAATTCATCCAGAAAAGGAAACACTAAAATATATCCTTCATAAAATAAAATACATGAAAACAGTTTTTTAAAATAAAGATTATTCTTAGAAACCCAATTTTATAGTGGCATGTCATGTCCTAGAGTCCTATAGAATAATTTTCCTTCTTTAGACATTAGTGTGGACAACATGGCATTTCCAATAGAGTCTAAGTTGTACATCTGCTATCATTATAATTTTTTACTAAAAATATAAAATTTCTTGGAAATATATCAATTACTATAATTACCATTATGTATATGTATATGTAATATGCATATTATCATAGAAAATCAATAGAGAATCTGAGAACCAAAAGGAAAAAAATCCCAAACAGACTCTCAAGTATCTTTGTTTAGTAGAAAGCAGCCATTACTTTCATGAAACCATGAACACTCATCTACCATTTCACACAATCAAATGTTTTTATGTAGTCCTCTACTCTTTATATTTTTCTTTTCCTAAGTGTCCAAAAAGTAATAAAACAAAACAAGATTTAATCTTCATCTTAAAAACTACTTCAATCCACAAATGATAATTCACCATTAGGCTGGAAAATTACTTGGTGTCTGCCATATTTTATCCTTATGAAGAAGTGGTTATATACAGTCTGTTATATAATTTTTACATGCACCAAGAATGTAAGCCAATAGAGAAAACTGTTTAGAATCAAATGTTCTATCAGCTGAAAGGGTAACAGTTATTTTGCTTTACTGTACCCTATGGTAAATTACTGAGTGACAGTAACAAAAAAACATACTTGTACTTGCTGTGTGTTTGAGACTGTTCAATTTGTATTAGAACATGGAATCACTCTCCACAGCAGGCGTGGGCTTTCCTGTGCAGTGTCAGATGGAGGGTGCCAGAGATCTGGAGGCACTCTTTGGAAAGTAAAATCTATCAAAGTTCTTTCTCTATCTCTGTCTTTGAGGAATATTTAGGCAGAAGCCCTACATTCCATCATATATTTCAGAAGAGAAAGCAAAACGAAAACAGAAGTAACAATAAAATACAAAAAGCAATTTTTTAGTATAAAAATTTTCCTTTCTTCATAAAACAAAGTCAAGTAGGAATAACCTAGGACAATTCTCAATACAAAAATGCCCTTAAGAGTTGCTTAACCTTGTCCCTGCATCATCAGTATCTAAAAATATAATAAACCACACACTGGAATGCTAAAGACATCATCAAATATTAAGTTGTTTCTTCTTTCATGAGTGGGAGATGTAACATATTAAGTTTAAGGGCTGCACAAAATTGACCCTTTATATGATGTTAATGGCTTTCATGACAGCATAAGCACACAGAGGACATTATTACAAGGGTTTCAGTGATATCATTTGCTCTGTAAATAGGAAAATCATGGTGATAAAAGACCCAGACTGGACACCCTGACAAGTTTTTCGATGGTTCTGTTAGTCATTAATATTGAGCCACATTATTGCCTTAAAATTTCTATAAATTGTCTCAACTTCCAAAGCTTTTTATAAACATACTTGGGATTTAAAAAAAAATTTTGTAAATGCATCATTTCAATACACAGATTAAAAAGATATGCTCAGGTGTTCTTAGATGTAATAATATAACTCTACAGAACATATTTGTAAATGAAGAGAACATAAATTAGTGTATTAACTTTTTGATGAACATTTCTAATGAAAAGGGACACCATCAATTTTCAAAATACTACCTTATATGTAAAATAATTCTGATATTCGTACATCTTACAAATCGTTAGAAAATTTAAAAATTTAGTTTTTAACTAGAAAAAAAAATGGCAGTAGTATCCTAACATGAGTATTACCATATGGTAATACAATACAGCAATTGATAAGGTAAAATTAGTGTTTAAAAATTTCATTAAATTTGTCATGCTACAATATTCACTTAATAATTTATGAATCTTGATACTTCTATAAATCTATTAAATTTATTTCAATCATTCTATTTGTAGACAGTGAGTTGATTAGCCATTAAATGTTAGGAATCAAAATTTATGTTGTTTCTCATACTCTCTTCTAAATTTCTCAATTTCACATCAAGTTTTAATACATCCTTTTAGGTGTTTCAGTAATTCTTAGAAGACTAATAGGTGATTTCTATGGATTTTCTGGATTAAAGAAAACGTATTATGGACTAATTAATCCTGTGCTTCCTTATATATCATTTATATTGGCAGTGGTTTTGCTAGTGTTACCATAAGTATTGAGAGGTGAAAAGAATTGGTATGGAACTTAGTTCTAAATACTTCAGTGAGACTGAATTATGACGCTGTTGTGATTACCTACCATCTTGGCCCCTAAACACTGCCTCATTTTTTGAAAAATGCCATTTAGGCAATTGTGGGAGACAAAGGTATCTTTTTCCCAGCCTTTGCCCATTTTGCTCTTATATTACCAGGGCAATGTCTGCTTGACTCACCCCTGAAGACTGGGTTCTGTGGTCTATGAGGCCATGCCTAGACCAGTTCATAAGACTGGCCATATTTTATCAGATTATCTCATTCTGTCAGTGTTTTTACCACCAGATAACTGTTCTATAGGAAGGCAGAACCTCTATTATGTACCTGTGTCAATGGACGAAGAATGTGTACATATTTTTGTTTGAAGCGTGAAAATTTTAATATTTTTGACAATTTAATATCCTGGACAATTAATTCTTATCCTCAAAAGAGTATAAAATATAATGGACAACAATTAGTTTTTTGAAAGGATGTTAAATGAAATGACATTTCTTTATTAAATTATAATTAACTTTTTCAACTGAATTGTTTTCAACTTATGTAGCAGTAAATCACAAGGACTAGCTACTTGTGCAATTTTAATATCACAAATTTTAAAGAAATAATATATAATTATCTAGTTACTAATGTAATAACCATTTTTGAAACATTTTTTAATAATCATAATGGATATAAAAATGTCTCACTCTTAATGTTTTTTTTACATCCATTTGGAAGTTTGGCCACTTGGTTATGTACTGTTTATCAATATGTGAACAGATATAGTCAAATGTCTAAAATGTACAGGTCTAATTTTTATTAGTAGAACAAATCTTAGATAAATACTAAATGTCCATGTACTATCAAGGAGATGAAATCTCAACTACCGTAGAACAAAGTTTTTCAATCACATACCCTTTTTTATGTATTTTTTGCTTGTAATCAATTTGCCAAAATCTGACTTTTTAGAAACTTTCAACCCAAGGATTTTTCCTATAGCACTGTAGTATTAGTGCATTAATAATATAGAAGGTTTACTCATTGTCTGGGATATAATGAAAGCATGTGTTTAAATTCTTAAGTTTAAAACTTAAAACTTAAGAATTTGGAGATCATATTTATAAAACAGAGAAATTACTTTGACTGTACCAATTAAACTCTCAAGCTCAATCGCAATTGGGATAAATAGAAACAAACATAGACTGAACTTGGGGTATTAAGGATACCATGTTTGAGGGTAAGCAACTTGTTGAAAGCTACCATCATTTGAATTGGGAAGATACGTGTGGCTGTTCTTTTTATTTTCTCATCATAGGCAAATACAATAAAAAATTTAGGTAAGAACATCATCATCATCAGTATTATTAAGCTCATTTATTATGGCTCAGTCTCTGCAATTATAACTCTACTCTAACAATACTTCTTTCAGCAAATTAAAAAGGAGATATAATGAGGATCATGTTGCCAGATTTAATCTGAGTAACAGAACATTCCATTGCAAGTGCATTAATTGATTACATACCTCCATAATGCTGCATAGACAACTGCGAGGGTGATCAAGGCCAAGCAAGAAAGGCCACTGCCTACTATTAGGGTAACTGAAGGTGTACCAGAGGATTCCATGATCTGTAAATTAAGCAAAAGAAACAAAAAAAAGAGGAGAAATCATTTTTCTAATAAATTAAAATAACTTTTAAACTCAGCAAAACTATCCTATTCTACTCAAAAACAGCCAATAGAGTTGTTATAGTTACCAGATAATTACCCAGTAACCACTTTGTTCATATATTCTCAACCTCTAAAATGACTAATTCTAACTCCCCCCTCTCTCCCACTGTGAAGTAATAAAGGCCTGAGAGTTTTAAATGCTTGATTATGGCATACTACCCACTATGGTTTTCTACAATAAATAACTAAAACTGAAACTTGGTGAAAATTCCCATGTTAAATTTTCTCTAGCTGAAATTTGAAGCAGCATTCCTTTTTCTTCAACAACTATAGTTCAGTTAATACATAGTATGTTTTAGGGTAAAATTTACATTGATCTTCTCATTTATAACTCATTGCTACCCCAATCTGGTACCTAGATATTGAAAAAGGTTCAAACTTTCTGACTTTTGGCAACTTTGTTCTAAGTCAAGTATTATTTAATTTCACTTGCTTGGCCTCTAAGGATATAGAAGAAAATCAAATTTCAAAATCAAGAACTTAAAACATATTTTGTGGGTTTTTTTCTATTAATGAAATATGCAGAGATGATTTTCATAATGCCAGTATCAGTCCCTGAAATACATGACCTTGACAAATAAGCCTTATATATTTTAAAACATATATAAAGATTATAAGCAGTCACTGATTTGAGAGGTTTCTTTCTTTAGATACTGACATGATACTAATGAAATCTATTGTTTTTTTATTTTTAATATTGGAAGTTTGAAGAAATACACTTTAAGATCAAGAGTATTACAAACCTTAGGTATGCACATTAAATTATATTATGTATTTTTGTTATCAAAATAAGTAAGAAGAGTGAGGCATATTTAGGCCAAATTTAGACAGAAAGTCACATTCACCTAAATAATTATTTTCCAATATTTCAATTTTTGAAATAATTCTTCAAACTACATTTTATGAGGATATTATTTTTCTTTTAGACAGTTTATGCAGCTATATATTTCAGAAACTAGTTTTTTTACAAACCTATACACTTTTAAGGAATGATTTTACAGTTTCAGGCAGTCTGTGCTTTCATGAAAACTTCATTGTTTTTTTTTTTAAATAAATATCCAAGGACACCCCCAGAAAACCTGTGCTGAAAATACCCAATGCAGATATGCAATATGTTTGGCTTATAGTGTCTGGGGTCTTCATTCTATTACCAACAGTATTCTCACAAATTCCCCAGACCAGCTTTTCAGTTCTAAAATAAAGGTTAAGTTGGCAATTATTTTCATTTGAAAGTTTGCAGCATATTAGTAATATGATGGAGTACATTCCCAAAACTATACTGCAGAAATTTCAAGTTAGAAGACATAAAATTGAGTAGAATTTAGTTACAGCACACCAACTAGAATTCATTTTACCAAGCTACTGTAGCTAAGGAGGAGACGAACCCAATTTTGCCACCCTGCAACATTTTCCATTTCCCCTTTTAAAATGCAGTTCCCTGGAGAAACACTCGCCACAATGTCCCTGCCTTTGCATTAAAGCCTTGTTTTCCCTTTGTTACTTACTATTTCTCTAGGTTGCTGAGCCAAAATGGCGAAGGTAGAGAGACGATCACATAAGCATTTCGTATGGGATGCATCGGTAAGCACAGTTTTACATCCCTGGGTGGACCACGCTCCCAAAGACTCGTTCCTGCAAAGGGGGGGTGGGGGGGAGATCGGGATAAATACGCCTGACGGCCAAATCCGTAAAGAAGAAAATGCAGTTTAATTGAGAGAATCGTCTACTGTAATTCCCGGTCAGGAAAAAAAAAATCTACTTGTTGTTGAACAGAACGTAATTTAGATGCATCTCCAGTAATGCAAAGCAAGAGTGTTTGGAAAAAGCAAGCAGGAGGGTGCAGCGTGCAAAAGAGCTGTCCAGCGCTGGAGGTGCTGAAACCGGGACTAGCTCTGTCCAGCCCTCTGCGAGGAACAGCAGCGGCGGTGGCAGCACGAGCAGCCGCCAGAGCGTTGGCAGCCACTTCCTATGCTCATCGGATCGTTTCAAACACTCAGAGTGTAAAGAGGCTTTTCAGATTTTCATACCAGCTCTGATTCTCGTCCTGTATTTTTGGATCGTGAATGCTGGCTTTTAAAATGCGGCTTTCTCTGAAAAGCCTGCCTAAAAGGTTATATAGCTTGGGTTGGGTGATAGGATCTTTTCCTCTGCTGGTTAGGGATTTTTCCTCCCTTTAGAATTAGCTGCTGTGAAAATTTCACCCTGGAAACGGGAAGCAGCAGCAGCGGCATCAGCTGGTTACGACTCTCATTGCCTTTGCCTGGTATCCAGGGGAGGGGTAGGTTTCAGACATAAGCTTCCCACTCCACACTTCATTCAGCCCAACATGCCTCTGAAGCCCTTGACATTTCTTCCCCTGACCTGCCTCTCTGCCCTGGAGTAGAAACATTAAGCTAACACCAAGTCTGCTAAAACATTTGGAGGAATAACCCTACCCCAAAGTCCGGTAGGAAGGGGGAAAGAGGGCCTGCTTCAATTTTCCCTTTCGTATAGTCATTCAAAATTCTAAAGCATATGGTTTATTTCCCACCCCAGCAGAACAATAAAAATGGTATCAACCTACGCTTTCTTAGTAGGGGGGTAAGATGGGGGGAGAACCCTTCCATCCCCAGCTGAGCTACTCTACAGGAAGAGGAAGAAAAGGAAAAAAAAAAAAAGCTAGAGAGTTCAACCAATCAACTTTATTACCATTGTACGTGTTATATACTGAGCGCACCAATTTTCACCACCCTTCCCCCAGTATGGAAACTCTAACTAGCAAACCTGTGCATGTGTGTATTTTTCAAACCACGTTATTATCTGTGTTAAAAATTACTCTAGAATTTGAAGCAAATAACACATAATTTTGATAGGGTACTTTTGATTTCACCTACTCCATCCCTGAATGCCTAAAGCTATTGGGTTAAATATGTATGCAGTATATTTCTGAGAGATTTCAATGAGAGAAGCTTTTCTGTGACAGTTGAACTTCCAAGTTGGGCTACAGAATATAATTCACACTATCCTTTTTGGTATCTAGAAGCAATGTTTTTAGTATTTGTGATTTGGTATCATTAATATTCATGACTCAAAATACTCTTAATTACAAATTCTTTAAAGAAGGAATATACTGCATTTGAGGAGGGCTACATGAAATATTTACCTAAGTTCAGCCAAATAGTTTTAAGTATTACCAATTCAAAGTTAGGAGGTCTCTTTTCTTTCTCATGATCTCATGCAGCCATAACAAATTTAAAAATATGTATCAGTTATACCTTCAACCAACTGCAACAGTATTAAATTCCAATTCTACCTAACCATAGCAGCACTTCAATTTATTTCATTAGCTGTCTGTCTTTTATCTTCTTGAGACAAACAGTTAAGGCCAAATGAAAAACATTTATCTTAGTTGATTAAAGTTTAAAGAAGATAGATATAGTTAAGGGAATCTGACATGTTTTAAAACATAACATCTGCATTATTCATCCTGGATGGCAACTCTACTTTAATGCTGTATCTGTGCTTTCAAGATAGAGTCTAGTACTTAAACTTTTCACATTATGGAGCTATGACAAAACCAAAGTCTTAATAAGGAAAAACTTTACTGTAAATAAGACCTCATATGAGACAAAGTTATGTATTTATATCCAGGTAATGAAAGTTTATTTACTCAAAAAAAATGTTAGCATCACTGATCTATGGCTGTCAGATATAAAGTCTATGTTCAATATAATGCTGCTAGACTATAAAGATCATGTAAATTTTATATGACATCTTAAGAAAAGTAGGGCAATTTACTTTGTTTTGTTTGTACAATAATTGCATTGATGACCTAGCCCAGCCTCAGCCAAAATTGGAAAGTAAGTGACACCAGTCTCACTACTCCCAAACATGAAATGCTTCAAATCTTACCGGGCCCCTCTTCATGTGTACTTTCCTGAGGGTACCTAGCCTATGTCCCTACCTTTCTTTGGAATTATTTTCCCTTTGTTGACTTTATCTAATTAAACTAATAAATAATAATATGAGTGACTGATAATAGGATAATGTGCTCTTCCTGGTTTAAAACAAGGTATAAAACACAAAATAATGCATCTGATAGGAAAACATCAGAATTTGGAGCTGAGTAATAGAGAAGATCTTGAAAGGTCAGAGGGTAACTACCAGATTCTACATTAGGTAGAAGCTGAGCAATAAACATGATGCCATTCTAATACTGTATTTTATATTATTTCATAAACCTCGATATTTTAAAACCATATAAACTCTTATAAAATATCTTTTAAATCACAAGCATACATGTCACTATTATTACAAAATGTATAGTATGTAGCATTTGTATTTTCAAACATTTCATAGCTTATTCCTACTGTACAAAATTCTTTGAAAGCATGGTACATGTGTCTGATTGATTTCAGGGAGACCTTGTAAAGCAAACTGATACTTGGTAGAGCTAATGTGAAGCAAAGTAGTTTCCCCAGTCTGCAAAGAACAAGATTTTCAAACATGTGGACTATTCCAGCAGTTGTATTATTCTTCCAATGTCATAGTTTTGCGTGTTATGATTAATGGTTCATCTGTGAATTATTTTTAGTTACTAAGTGTAGGTTTTCATCAATATGGCAAACAAATACAATGAACTATGTATGAACAGTAAAGATATAATAAGGAAAACGGACTTATGATGTCAGAAGTGAACACAGAATGATGATACAGATAGACATATTACACTGAAAATCACATATTTCTTTTTCACAATGTCTTTTCTGGGCATTAAAATTTATTTCAAATAGCTTTCCAAAATAACTAGGCCTGTAGAAATTCCATATAGCCAGCACATTCTTTGTTGGTTACACCTACATTCACCCATGTTAGCTGTTAGCTGTCATCTGTACCTCTTCTCCTCTTCCTATTATTAGGCTGGCTAAAAGAAGAGTCTGCCTGTCCCAAGTATTCAAACGTACATACCCACAAGCACAGAATTCTGTCAAAATATAAGACACAAAATTCATTACTTTCCAGTTTAATATTTATTTGAGACCTTTCTCCAATTTCCTAACAATCTACCTGGTTTCTTTTTGGATCTGAGTATATCATTGGGTTTCTGATTTCATGGGAGTTTTAAATAATGTAACATGTTACTATTCTTTAGTACTTAAGATTACAGGAAAAATTATCTGTTCCCTGTGACAAAGTTGTTTAGTAAAACCTGATAGCAAAAACTTAGCGACACATTTCAAAAGTGTTCTAAGAAATCAAACTTCTATCTTTTGAAATATCAATACAACCAGGCATTTCACTTGAATTATTCTTTTATAAAACTGTCTATTCTGTTTCATAATAAATCAATGCATAAAGTATTTACCATGAATAAATTATACTTTAGGAGGTTTATTATCTCTTAGGATATTAACAGTCCATTTATCCAAAATCAAAATAGCAACAATGGCAATTTAAAAAAAATTTACACACAACTTCTGAGTACACTGTTCTTACAATGAATGTGTACTGAAAGAAAGTAATTGTTTCCCTTCATAATGGCCATTAATATCTAAAAACTAGTTGAATCTATACTGTTTTTATTTTTTATTTTTTAAAAATTATTTTGAGATAAAAGAGAGGGAAGAAAGAGAAGGAGTGAGGGGGAGAGAGAGAAACACAAGCAGGCTCTGCACTGAAAGTGTCTTGACACAGGGCTCATTCTCATGAACCATGAGATCATGACCTGAGCTGAAATCAAGAGTGAGATGCTTCACTAACTAAATCACTCAAGTGCTCCTATACTATTTTTAATGTATATGTCACACACAAATAAATGATGTATATATGGCTGTTGGTGGAAATTATTCCCAAAGAACAGAAAATTTTGAAGTACAAAGGAGAAAATATTTTCAATTTTGTGTTGATACAGCATTTGAGGGTAATTTCTACTTTTTAAGCCATCACACAAACTGAAAATATCGTTATCTCTAGCAATTGTTACTATGTCAAAACACAATGAATATAAAATTAGAAAGTTTTGCTAGAAGTAACCTTAGTGATCATCTAGCCCATTGGTTTTATACACTTGATTCCATTAAAGTTACCTGGAGATCTTTAAAAATTAAGCCCTGAGGTGGGCCCTGGGCATTATTACTTTCCTAATGCTCCCCAGATGATTCAAGTGTGTAGCCAGGGTTGAGAATCACTGATCTATCCCAACCACTTAGTTTTATAGATAAGACAAGTGAAGTACAGTGAATTTAGGAAACTTGTTTTAAGTCACAGTGAAAATCAAAGTTGGGTTTCTCACTTCCCGACTAGAGGTTTTAAGTGCTAAATTTTAATTGCAATCTGTTTTAAAACAGAATGGAACATGTCCTATGAAGTTATTAGAATGTCATGCATATTTACACTTGCAACCATTGGGGCACTACTGTCACAGTTAACAAACTGAGTTATCAATGGAGAAAGTTAGCAAAAGGTAGGTAGGTTGTCATATTCTATGTTTTATATCCTATATTTAAGAAATATATCCTATGACACATTAAAGAGAAACATTGATTTTATACCAAGTTTTCATTACACGAAACTTCTAATATCTCTTTAGTGAGTTCATTTACTGTTCAGGTGATACAAAAATTTAAATCGCAAATTCTGAAAACACAATAGTG